ATCACCACGGATAGGTCAGGGCGATGGGTTGGGCCTACAACACTCCGGACGATGCTGCCAATGATGGATCGCATATTACTGCTGTCGCAATTGTCTTCACAACAGTTTCATTCTTGGTATTGTCCCTTCGAGTTTACGTGCGTGGCTGCATGATCAAAGCAACTGGAGCTGGTACGTATTTTGGCATAAGACATGCTTTTCGACACATAGCTAACGATTATCGCCAGACGACTGGATATTGATCGCGACTTGGGTGAGCAACTATACTGTTTGCTATAGTTGCGGGACTGACCGTCTCGCAGATAGCGTCGTGTGGCTTCGCTGTTGTAACCATCGTTCGTACGTTGAGTACACAGCTTCTGCAACACCACGACTGACTACGTGCCAACAGAAACAAAATGGGGACTTGGACTGAAACTCCTGAACGATATGCCCATCCAGAACCTCTACAACTTTGGGCTAGTAAGTCTCACCAACGCAAGTGCCTAAAGCTCGACCCTGACCAGATTAGTTACAGTATGTGGGTGCACCATTGTAAGACGAGACCTACAATACGGTTTTGAGTCGTCTAGCTGACAATGACAGCTACATAACCAGTATATTGGGCTTCAAACTCAGTCTACTGTTGACATATCTTCGTATTATGCCGAAGGGCGCATCACGTAGCGCTACTATTACTGTAATAGTCGCATGCATACTCTTCCACCTCAGTTTCCTGATTGTGCAGACCAATCTCTGTCAGCCAGTGAGTCATAAAATCACCTAGTGCATAGCGCTTCTCTGATCAAATCTAGGCCGCGAAACAATGGGACCCTTCGATCACTTGGGGCCAGTGCCTACCCGCCGTCCCCTTCTACACCAGCATGGCATCTTTGACCATTGTTTTCGACGTCATAGTGTAAGCCTTTCATTTGCAATTGTGACCAGAAGCTTACTTCAGCAGCATGTTCCTACCCTTCCCCGTCCTCCTCAAGAGTCACATCCAGAAGCGGAAGAAATTCGCCCTGTTAGGCCTCCTCGCCCTGGGCACCTTCATCACAATTATCCAATTCCTGCGCATCCGAACCGTTCGAAACCTAGCCAACTACCTCGACTCAGGTAGTCTCATCATGTGGTCGACAGTTGAGAATAATCTGGGTATCATCGTCGCTTCGATACCGACACTGGCACCCCTCTTCAAGTACTTCGTCGAGAAGACACAGAAGAGCTCCAATGGCAACTCTGCAACGCGATCACGGTCTATATACGCTTTGAAGTCGAGACGCACTACGAGACAAGGATCTATTCCGCTAGGCAGTGGTGTTCATCAGGCGACACATATTTCTGGGCCCTTTGAAGGAGGAAGTGAGGAGTGCATCATGGGTGACATTGCTGCTATAACGAAGAAGACGGAGGTTACTATCTCATCTCGTATTCGTGAGGAAGCGGATGGGGCTGACAAGTAGTTTCTAATTTTTGCTGTTGTGGCTTACGAGCAAACTCATAACCCACCTTTTTATTATGCTGTATAAACAAAGAATACCTATAGCGAAAGATTTTCCCAGGGCAATGGGCGGCCCGCAGCACAAGATCCCCAAGCGTCTCCTGAGAACGATACACAAGAGAACGTACAAGCATTAACAATGTGGCTCATCGCGGACCAGGCAGGCTTGCAAGAAGATGAGGTAAATCTAGGTCATCCGAACTTCCGATATCAAAGCTGTCTCGCGAGCTACTTGATCCGGCATCGTTCGAATCAACTTCGTAATCTAGATCGTTAATACTTCTCGGCAGTGCAAATAGTGCAAGCTCTTTGAGATGCCTTGTAAGGTGCTCGAGTGAGGCTTTAGTTTTCGAGCAGAACGGACACGATCTCTTATGGAGCCGATCGAAAGTTTGTCCATTGTGTTTTCGAAGATCATGTTTTTTCCAAGCGTTGATAGATGAGAAAAGTTGACCCTCTTCATCACAGTTTTCCAACGTGCAAAAGTAGGGCCGAAGATCTCCCCATATGTGATCCCTAATAAAATCAGATTCTAGAGAATGACCACCACATTGAGTACGTACCTCCATGCACCAATACTAGCAATGTCTTGTTGTCGGAAACAAATGGAGCATATTTTGCTTATCGTGTTTTCGCCAGAGGAAACGTTGAGCGACAGATGAGGTAAAGGAAGTCGAAGATAGTGAGAGAAACCATCTGGATACGTCTCAGTCGATGTGAAGGCCACGTTTGGCGTTTCAGTTGTGTAAGTAATCTGATCCAACTCTTCATGCATATGGGTGGTCTCTGACTCCTCGAGTTGCTGTCCCTTATCATGGTCGTAAACATTGTTTGCTAGTCGGCTGATGTCCAAGTTTGCACGTGCCTGTTCCGCTTCTGCAAACCGTGCCAAAATGTGTCTACGTTTGGTGATTCCTTGTCCTGCACGTCGACAAATCCACGTGCTTGCACCGGGGAATTTCGATTGAACATGTGCGATGTCAAACCTCTCGAAATGGGATTTGTCGCTATTACAAACATACGACTTTGTGAAATCTTCCATAGTTTGTAAATGTATCCGTCGAAAGACTTTGAGTTCTTGACATGCCTGTCTCTCAAGGCTACGATTATCACGATTTCGCTGGCTGTGTGTAGACTTATCCATCATGTGGCGATCTCTCGGTCTCTTCAAGCTTTCCGGTCTAGTCGGAGTTTGTTCACGTATATCGTAGCTTTGCACAGCTGCGACCTTTGCTTTGCGGTTTTCGATGCTTGCTAGGTTATCACCAGCGGAGGATGACAATAGCGAGAACTCCATTGCACACATATTGCTATGCTGTGTTAGTGCTGGTAAGGTGTTCGACAGTGAGATTACTTACCACTTGGTAAAATTGTCTCGACTACCTTGTGGTTGGCCAACCCCACGACAGTCGACTCGGGGACAGTTTGATCCGCTTGCGGATGCCACTAGGAACTCTATAAAAATGGACATACAAAGTTGGGAGCCTGGAAGTACTCTTCCCACCCATGCTGTTTTATCGACCGGTTCCTGCCCCGATCGTGCATCCCATATGAGGTAGTTGCCTGTTCGCACCTTCTCCTCACCTGGGTGCCCATGGAACTCCGTCCGGAGAAACGAATCAAACACCTCCTTGTGCCGGAAGTATTCATAGGGTAGGGTCCTTGACCGTCCAAGCGCATCCTCGAACCGAAAGGCATCAGCGGGATTAAGAGCTGGCGATCGAACGATACTCGTATGTATGACCCTCAGCATGGAATACATCTGTAGATTTCTTTGAACGACTGGCTTCAAGATTTCACGAACCTGCCGTGGTAGATGTCGTAACGTGTACATGAGCTGCGTTCCAAGATCTGTAAAGCTCACTAGTTGTGTGCTCATCTTCTCTGTCGTTACCGATGCCTGGCGGAGTCCAGTTGCTAAGACATCTACTTTCTGGTACAAGCCCTTGATGCTCCTCGCTTGCTCTTTAGCATGTGTTTCGACTGAATCTTTAGACTTGGTACTCTCCTGGCTCAAAGTAGTTAAAGTCCTTTCTTGTTGAAGAATGCTTGCCATAATAATGGCATGGAAGGTACGGGCCTGTGCCCTGAATCCAGATAGCGTCTCCGATATATGGGTAACGAGGAGCAAGATGATGCTGAGCACTTTTGCTCCAATTGCAGTTCGTAGTTTTGCGACTTCTTCACTCATTACCAGCGCCCATTGCGACTTCCTACCAAACATCTTCAGTGAACTACCGCTAGGCTTTGAGAATGCGCCCATCGTGTTTTCAAACTTGGTGATCTTTTCGAAGAACTCCTGTAACGGTATCCAACAGGTGAGCGCCATGCTACGGATGGCATCGACGTGCGTCCTGTTATCCTCATTTGGCTGCAGAGCTTGTAGATATCGAAGCGACCTCTCCAAGGCCTGTAAGTCTAGTTGAGCATGTTGATATTCAGTAGACGCCCCAGACCTAGCATCCAGAGCGCGTACGACTTTGGTTATAAGGTCTAGGCAGTCAGCAGTCAGGCTGATGAGGGTTATGTAACTAGGATTGATGACTTACCTATTGTAGCGATAAAATCGCCGACGGAAAATCCGAAAGCAGGTACCATGCTGACGAAAACAAACGATCAACGTGTTTCGACGAAGTCTGGCATGAAGATGAACGCAAGAGCGGATGTTTTGGTCACTTGTGAGGGTCGAAGTGGGGTAAGATGGCTACACTGCTGCAAGGCTGAATCTTAACATGCACAGCTCCATTGGGTGTCACCTAGCAATACCTGCTTCAGCGTCTGGGTGCACGTACGGTAAAGGTACGTTGAGGTACTACAACTACACTAAGCAAAGCGCATCAAAACCTTTTGCGCAAAGGCGAGATCACAGCGAGTTACGAGACCCTCTGTCATTGACAATGACGCTTCTACTTCTTTTGCTAGTCATTCTTCCGAACGCGATCATCCATCTGGAAAAGTCGCGCTTGACGTGCATATGGAAGTTTACCAATGCGACGTAGTCACTAGGATCTGCGGCTTTCCTTCACATCGGGCTAGACGAGAATAGACCTTGAGAGTCGAAAGGAAGTGTTCGATTTCAGAAAGATAACCGTTGCAGCTGGGGACATGACAGATTTCCTTGTCGATACGAATGACGAACCCTAGAACTGCTCGGTGCCGGCGAGCCCAACCAGATCGGCGAACCTGGGGTAAGGGTCATGTAATTCACCTGCGAAGAATCGACACAAGAGACGGCAATACAGGACTATTGCTCTTCAAGAATGTATTGACACCTGAGACGCTCTGTAAGGCGGCTGGCGGACCGTGACAGTTTTGTAACAAATAAGAAAACGGCAATTGAATATAATAGAACACTATAGCAGATTGGGTATGTAGAAGCAAAGAACCTCCCCAACAATCGAGCATTGATAACGCCTGTAAAGCAAACTTGAACCGTGTTGATGCAGCATAAATATTCGGCTTAAATCAGCTGAAAGACGGGTTAGCAAGGACGTTGCTATGCCGACTAGACTGGTCATTACAATGGCATGATCGGAGGCTCCGGACCCGCCGGTACTACGCCGTTGCCAACAGTCACAGCCGAGTATCCTTCCTTAATCTGATAAAGTTAGTAGCGTTACGTGGTTGCTTGAATTTCTTCTCATACCAAGTCGAAATGGGTTGTGGTCCGGAAGGCGCCACCCTCTGTTTCAGATCCGTCGCTCCAGTAAAGACGCCTCAGCCAAGCATGGAGACGCGGATAGTCTAGACGTATCATCTTCTTGTTACATTTGAAGAGAGTGTAGTATGCCACGTCAAAGCGAACAAGTGTTGTGTATAGTCGAATGTCGGCCTCCGAAATGTATTGCCCAAAAAGGTAGGGGTAGTGCTTAGGCTGTGAGAGGTGATCTTCAAGACGATCAAGCGACTGAAAGAGCTTGCTGACATGTTCGTCGTACGACGCCTGTGACGTTGCGAAGCCGACCTTATACACACCGTTGTTCACCGTATCGTGTACCCATAAAAGGAGCGAATCCATCTCTGTCAGGATGTGCGCAGGTCTGAAACCAGCCACTCCTTTATTGATCTCGCGACGCTCCAAAGGTAGAAGAGGATCGAAGGCATCGAACAGCATGCGAATGATTTCGGCGGCTTCATTGTTGACAGCGGTACCTGAACATCGTCAGTCTGAAGGCTACTACCCTAAACCCTAGGTATCTTTACCATTGAAAGTATCCCACAGCAAAGGAATCGTGATTCTCCCGTTATACTTTGGGTCCGCTCTCAGGTAGAGTTCTTTCAACCACTTCGCACCATACACGGGGTCCCTCTCTGGCCCGCTACGCCCAGAGAAAAACCAGCCATGCGCTGCATCCCTTCCGTCGACCTCTATCAAATCCAAGACATCTCCCAGCCCCTTCAATGCGAACACAATGGCAGCTCGGTGTGCCCAGGGGCAGATGTAGTTGATGTAAAGTACGTATCGGCCCTTTTCGGCAGGGAAGCGTTCGGAGGGGATCCTGTCTCGGAACTGCGAAGGCATGTGGTTCCACCGGATGTCGACGCTGTGGACATCAACAGTGTCGCGATTTATTGGCTTTGCAAAGATGTCAGTAAGTGTGGGCAGTTCATGAGGACTGGAAAGGAAAAAAAGCCTAATCGAACCTTTGAAACCATCATAACCGGTGGCTTTAAGACTTCTCGCTGATGCTACGCAGGCTATTTCCGAATATATCCTGTCTGCAGATGTGCAGCCCATGACGTTCTCTTAAAGAGCTGAGCCCTCTGCCGTTGGCACATCGTGATTACAAAACAGCAGAATGCGGACAAGGGTGACCTCTGATTAGTAGAGACTACGACGCGTGAGCGGCAGCTTCCGGGGATTAAAAATTCCCTCAAGTGATTGACGGACTACATCAAATACTACCAAGAGCTATATGGTGATAATGCTACAGGTGATCGATGGGTTTTGTCGAATATCAGAATGAATTCATTGCTGACGCGGTCGACGATGGCATGTAAAGGGTGAGCTCGTGCCATGCATCTCCGCCGATCAGCCGAGGCTCGCTAAGGGAGCTGGTTTAGTTCCATCCTGCCACGCGGTATCTGTCCGTCTTTCTCAACCCCGATCCGTTCAACTACCCCAATCCGTGCCGTACAACATACAGCCGTCTTAAGTTTTGTAATATTCTTGATGTCATCCAATCACAGCTATTATAGCGGTGGGCAAGGCTGCCGGTGACGTGGCCGATATGATCAGCGCCCTTTGCTAATCCCAATTAACACCACAGCCTGGACAGATTAGCCGATTTGCGATCCTGCAAGAGGTGGAACCACGGCTCCTTGGACGTTTAGTCATCACGCTTTTCATGATATTTTAACAAGAGGCTTTAGGAATGACATGATTGGTGTGGAGTCGTACAACGATTGGTAACTCCATTTCGTGAAGGTGTCCCTCGGCGAAGTACGCGATATGCCGTCACGAGGTTGTTTGCAAGAGGCACTCCTGTCCGCACGCACCGAGTATACCTGTCAAAAGATGCGGTCGCACACAAGCTAGCTTTCCGGCATCGCCTTTACTCACGTCACAAGACGCGATTCACGAACCTCACCTCGAGAAGCGAGGTGCGTCAGTTTGATTCAAGGAAGGATCCGAATGCAGCCCATTCTATAAAATGATCTACACGGCATCAGGCTGAAGGACGCGCTAATTGTTAATTGTCGCGCCCTCTATACACGTGCCAAGAGAAATACTACCAGTCATCGTGCAAGCTGAGCTTCTTGAACTCAGTCTATAGAGCAACCGTCGGCTTTTCAGAGGGAGGCGGTTGAATATCGTTGGTAACTAAAAGTCGAGACGTTACAGCATCGGCCGTCAGGTCCAGATGGCAATGTCGAACAAAACACGTACACATTTACGCACGATGACCGTGACACCAGACGAGACCACAGTTCCTCGCTGCCCCGCTCATGGAGCTGTGGGCTTTCTGAGCTCATACATGATATGCCATTCGAAAGGACACGTTCTTTTGTGTAGTCCGCATTCACTCTTCTTCGTTTCTGGGTCTTAACACCCTGGTTACAACTCCAAGAGGGACTTGAGCGTTTCGAGGCCCACTTTCGCGAACGCAGGACGTATTTACAAATCACTGAATGCATTGCGATCGCAGCAAAATTCGCTCGTAGGCATCCACTTTTTCCGGCAGGTATGAGTATACAGCGCCGTTCTGATTACTTATACCTTCGAACTATGCCCCGTTGTATGACGAGGGCCCACTTTAACAAGCGAGCCAGCCGTGTTCTGGAAATGCGTTCAGACTATTTCATTTGCTAAAGCATACGTCCGTAAGATTGATGGGAGCCCAAGTAGGAGTCGGAGTACGTTTGACTCCGCACTTGAGGCTATCGTCATCAAAAACCCAACACTAAGGGTTTTCAGCAATTCGGGTACCGTCCATGTGTATACTTCCTAGTGCTATGTCTTTCAGGAGTGTGTTGTTGACAGATTGTCGTAGCACATATATCCGAAGACAACCCAGATATGTCCGTACTATACGAGTAACAAGCCTTTTAAACGGAATGGGAAGAATGCGACTTCGAGACCTGCAGTGAGATCAGACATATCAGGCAGTTGAGTATTCCTCACGCCGAGGTACTGTATGATCACGGTCACTTTTCGATCCGCGAAACAGTGTGTAACAATTACCGCCTATCGAAGGATAACAGCACTGTACCTTTCTTTTATTATATGATGCAACATTCTGAAAGAAAACGCCGGGACTTCAAAGTCACACTAGACATACAAGAGCGTTGGGACTCTCCAATACGACACTGGAATCTATTTGGGGATTAGGCCAAGATTCTATTGCCCCGACGACTTGTGTCAAAACATCACAACTGCCGCAACTACTTATTTCTACAACCGGCCAAGTCCTATTTCATAGACTGCGATCGCATATGTAGGCGTATACTTTTTAGATTCTGTGAAAGCTCGTGGTTCTAACAGATATATTGATGAACTAACGAGACCTTTGCCGCGGCCCTACTCGACACCAGATTATTTACCGAAGCATCACCCGAAGCTCTTGGTCCCCACTAGCATGCATTCAACTTCCCCAGATCTTCTCCTCAGTTCGTACGTCGTCAATCCACTATTAATCTAAATTGATCGTCTTGGCGAATTATGACCTTGTTCAAGTATGGTTCATGGGCCAGATCGTCCACGATGCGGTCAATATCACGTATGAGGGCAGCATATGCACCCAGTATAGTCGAGGAATACACCGAGGCTGGTTTTTGTCCATATATAGGATCAGCGCTGGTGTAGCGACATAAGATCTCTACTAATCACGAAGACTGGCCATCAATATGATCACTTCCGCCCTTCTCTCGTTGTTGGGTATCGTGCCCAGCTTACTCAGCATTGCACTTGCACAGTCTTTCACGCCTGCACCTGGTAACTTCCCAGCTAAAGGTGATGGCGACTTCGCAGGCGGTATCTTCAGCATCTCCCTTTTCCGAGTTGCCAAAATACTCTGGCGCAGGTGGGACTGGACCTGAGGCACCCAAAGGAAATGGCGCGAAGACGTCTGGCTCAGGTCCCTATCCAGCGCAGATGCTGACCGACTCTACACTACCGGGCCACACCATCTTTGCACCCAAGACCCCACCAAGCGGGAATCTCAGTCTCCCCCTTTATAGCCTGGGGAAATGGCGGATGCGGCCTCAACGCAGGCATTTACGAGCGTCTACTGGTAGAGATCGCCAGCTACGGATACATCATCGCCGCAGACGGCACACCCACTGGCTCTGGTTTCCAATCTGGTCAACAGTCCAAAGTACAGGACATGCGCGACTCTCTAGATTGGGCATTCGCTGGCAAAGCGAAGAAATACGGGAACGTGGATTTGACCAAAGTCACGACTGCAGGTCATAGTTGCGGGGGTCTCGAAGCCATGTCGACGGCGTATCATGACGATCGTGTTAAGAAAATCATGATGTTCAATATTGCCATCTTCCAGGATGACAGGAGGTACCTACTTAGGGAAATCAAAGTGCCTGTTGTGTATCTGATCGGAGGGCCGAAAGATATGGGGTATAATACAGTGAGTTTGCCTTCCTTACGTCTCGATCTTGATATTGTTCAATGCCAATGCTGAAACTATGATAGTCGGCAAAAGATTATGCACTTCTGAACGCGGGGCTTCCTAAGCTCAGGGCCAACCTCGATACTGGCCATGACGGGACTTTCGCTGCTACGAATGGTGGCAAACAGGGTAAAGCGGCTGTCGCGTACTTGGAATGGCAGTGGAGGGGTAACGCGACTGCTCAAGCATATCTGCTCGATGGTGGTTTAGAGAAGGATAAATGGGTTGAAGAGCATGCCAACTGGTCATGAATTTCCTTTTGTTGTTTGTGTGCAGACAATTTTGTCAGGGCGAAACAAACTGGCTTATCGCAGACTAGTCGAAGGAATTTTGTGCGCAAACAGAGTAGGGATAGGTCCAGAATTCTGTAACCTATCGGTGAGCAGTTTTGTCGTGGTGCAATTTTCGAGCTGTGGTGTGATGGCTGGGCGGAGGCTGTGGGCTTAGAGCTGAATGAACACCAAGTCACATTGCCTAGGCAAGGCATAATCGGCCATCAGCAACTTCGGAAAGCTCGAATGTATCGACGTGAAATGTTTGGAACTTGGATATAAGCAA